GTGTCTCTGCATCTCTGAAGCCCCACCCCGTGTCTCTGCATCTCTGATTAGCTGTGGGGCTCTGTAACCATCTCCACACTTTTCTTGTGATCATCGATGTCTGTGAATGTTTCTATGAGGAAAGAAGCGCTGGAATTTGAGTTTTGGCACCTACTACCTGTGCGACCTTAGGCAGGTCGCTTTCCTTCCTCTGCCCTCAGTTCCGTCCTCTGTAAACAATGTGATTGGACCTGATTGGTCAGGAGCTGGAAGAGGCCTCAGAGGCCATCTATCAGTTGCTAAAATTTCTACAGCGCATCACAGAAATGACTTGCCTACGGTCACATAACTAAAGGCAGCTAGGTGGCACCACAGTGAATGAACACTGGGACTGGAGTCAGGAAGACCTGAGTTCAAATCCAGCCTCCAACACTTAGCTGTGTGACCTCGGACAAGTCATTTAACCTCTGTTTGCCTCAGTTCCCTCATCTATAAAATGGTGATCATGATAGCACCTAACTTTCAGGGTTGTTGTGAGGATCAAACGAGATAATATTTATAAAGCATTCAGCACAGGACCTGGCACATAGAAAACACTGCATCAGTGTTAGCTGTTATTATCATCATCATTACTATTACTAAGTGTCTCAGAGAACACATTTGAACCTAGACCTTTGTGAGTCTGCATCCAGTGCCAGAGGCCCTTTTTCGAGGCTTTCTCCAGTTGGAGGTGAGTCCCACGGGTAGCTAGCTACAGAGGCTTGGTTTGGCCCAGGTCTGCTGTCTCCCAAGGCCATGGTCTTTCCCCTGCACAGTGTCATGTGGGCCTAACTCTTGCCTGCCCATCTCTGTCCACTTTTGCCCTCTGCTGCTTCATCTCTGCCTTTGTCTCCCGCTCAGAGCCTGGCCTGCCTGAAGCCCTCAGTCTCTCAGTTGAGCTTGCCAGGCATTTCCTGAGAAGTTATCATTCACCCTTGGTAGGTAGCCCCCAGGGGTTAGGAAAAGGAAATGGCTTCTCCTCCCACCTGCCTCCGGGGACACTCTGTGCTAGGCTTTCCTTCCCCCTACACCCTGACTTATTACAGCTATATGCCTGGGTTCTCATCCAGGCACCTGAGACCACTGGTGCCAGGACCCTCGAGCTAGCCCATCTCTCTTCAGAGACAAGAGGGGATGGAATCTGGGGAAATCTCCCTCTCCTTGGTCTGGGGAAAGTCCTGGGATAACTTGAACTAATTGATGGCTTGGCTTTCTTGTAAGCTAGTGAGCTCCCCGCTGCTGAGAAAGATTCAAGAAAAGCCTGGGTGGGCTGCTCTGCTTGGGGCCTCCTGGCTGGGATGGTGAGGGGTGAGAGATTGGCCTGCATGGCCCAAGGCCCTTTCCCCTCTTAGATTCTTGGCTACCTCACCTTTCCTCATACTAAGCAAAGGAAAGACCAGGGACCATCTTCTCTTCCTGAGGTGGACGCGTTTGCACCAACCCCTTATCCTTCCCCTCTACGTGAGTCCTGTCCCAGGGCTTTGGGAGCAGCCCTGGCCTCCAGGGGGCCTGGGCCTTGGCAGGGCTAGATCTACTGTTTTGTCCTTTAAGTCAGGGTGCAAGCTGTTGTTTGGGATCCAAAGGGCTGCTGCCTTCTCTCCGGCTGGTAAAGGGAGGACAGGGATGGCCCGTTGGCACTGACCAGTGGTGGGGAGGAAGGGCCAAGGGGTCCTTGGGCTCATGCCCCTCCCCCAGCAGCCCCTTTGCTCTGCTGGGCTGTGTGTGTGGTTGGCCCTTTGTGTCAGGCTTGGAGTCAGGGGAGTAAGTGGGACAGCAGGGGGCTGGGCACACACAGCCTTTTGTTCAGGGATAAAGGAGCAGGCAGGCTCTTTGTGTGGGGATTAGGAAGACCAGTAGGTGTGTGAACCGGTCTGGAGCTCCAGCCTCATTAACCCAGTCCTTCAGGGTCAGCAACAGATACCTCCCCGTCGTCCCCAGAGGGCTGACCTTCTGGACCTTTGCTAGTTCTTGGGGCCTCCTCAGGGCTTGGGTCCCTGAGGCAAGAGTGGGAGTGAGGCCCTGGGGATGAGGAGAAGGGCCACGGATCTTCCAGTGCATCCTCCCACTGGGCCTTCCGCTGAGGAGGGGATGGAAGGCAGCACGGTCTTGTGGACTGGGAGCCTGAGCCCTTGGGTTCAGATACTGACTTTGGCCCTTGCTCCCGGTATAACTCATCTCAAGCGTGTTACTCTGGTTCTCGGTTTCCTGCTCTGCAAAATGAGGGGGTTGGGCTGGATAAGGTTCCTTTTGACTCTAAACCTGTGTCAGGATCAGTGAGGGGCTCCTTGGAGGTGTGTTACCTGAACTTTCATTCCCCCAGCCCAGGTCCAGGTATGGCGATGCTTCACCTTTTATTGACCCCCTACTTTGGGTCACTTCTCCCATATTCTCTCTGCCTCCTGGGCTAGCTGAGTGTATGACCTTTTCTTCCGGTTGTCTCCCCACCTTTCAGAGACCCTCATGGACACAAAGTGGGTGACATCTGAGCTGGCGTGGACACCCCATCCAGAAACTGGGGTAAGATTGCCTTCTACCCCCACCCCATCTCTTTTGAATAAAGTTAGCTCCACCCCCCGTCCCCCACCCCCAGCCTCTCCTACCCCAGGGATGGCATGATCCCAGTCAGCCAGAATTTCTCTAGTGCCTAGGAAGCGTGGCTGCCTCATTTCTGCACCTGCCTCCACTTTGTCTGCCTGTTGGGCTTTGATGCCTAGGGTGAAGCCCCAGAAGGGCCATGTCACTGTCATCTTTCCCCATCTGCCCAGCTCACTGGCTGCCTCTCTTTCTTCCCTTTCCTGGGATATCCATTTCCTTCTACTAGCCATCTCTATGGCATTTGCCTCTGTTGCCAACTGTCTCGTGTACCCCACTCCTATCTACTCTGTCTGTGCTTCATCCTCTGTCTGCCTCTATGTCCCTCGGTCAACCCAGCCCAGCCTTGAGAGGCAGCCCTGCCTATGAAATCTGATCACAACTTGGCCCCTAGCCCGGCTGTGTGACTTGGGAGGATGAGTCTTTTGCCCTCTTTGGCCTCCGTTTTCCTCTTCTATCAAATGCCTGGGGTACAAGTGGGTGATCGCCAAGGCTGAATCTGGCTCTGGCACTTTGGGATTCCCTCCCACTGGCCTCCCTGACCAGCTCTGAGCTCCTCTCTCTGCTCCGCAGTGGGAAGAGGTCAGTGGCTATGACGCGGCTATGAACCCCATCCGGACATACCAGGTGTGCAACGTGCGAGAGAGCAGCCAGAATAACTGGCTGCGGACGGGCTTCATCCGCCGGCGAGAGGTCCAGCGGGTGTATGTGGAAATCAAGTTTACCGTCCGAGACTGCAACAGTATCCCCAACATCCCCGGCTCCTGCAAGGAGACATTCAACCTCTTTTATTATGAGGCAGACAGCGACGTGGCCTCTGCCTCCAGCCCCTTCTGGATGGAGAATCCCTACATCAAGGTGGACACGATCGCCCCAGACGAGAGCTTCTCCCGCCTTGACACGGGCCGCGTCAACACCAAGGTGCGCAGCTTTGGCCCGCTCTCCAAGGCTGGCTTCTACCTGGCCTTCCAGGACCAGGGGGCCTGCATGTCCCTCATCTCCGTCCGCGTCTTCTATAAGAAATGTGCCCGAACCATCGCCAGCTTCGCCCTCTTTCCGGAGACCCTCACAGGGGCTGAGCCCACCTCCCTGGTCATCGCTCCTGGCACCTGTATCCCCAATGCTGTGGAGGTCTCGGTGCCCCTCAAACTGTACTGCAATGGGGACGGCGAGTGGATGGTGCCCGTGGGGGCCTGCACCTGTGCGGCCGGCTATGAACCCAGTGCCAAGGACACTCAGTGTCAGGGTGAGTGAAGGTGGGCCAGCATGGGCACGCCTGGCATGGCTCTGGCCTTGGTAGGTAAGGGAGGAGGGGAGAGAAGAGGGAAGGGACGCTGAATTGCCCAGATTCATGGCTACCTGCCCAGTCTCCCTAATCCTAGTTGGTACCCAGTGCCCACTCAGGGTGGATTGGGCCCTGAGGGCTGAGCTGAAAAGGAGTGTTTGTTTAGGGGGAATTAGAGGGGGATTGAGAAGAGGGGAACCCTGTCAGACAGAGACTCCTTGAGATCACTGGATCCCTTTTGTCAGAGCATCTGCTAGGCCTGTGGTTGGTAAGGCCGAGACAAAAGACCATTGGGCCATTCCATCACTGACTGAACAACTTTTTAAAAATTATTTTTTAAAAAACAAGTTTAATTGAGTCCTTTTCTTTTTATATCACCATCATTTCTGCAACTACCCAGCCCTCCTTCCCCAAATTGACCTCTCCCTCATAAGGAAGCCACCTGAAACAGAAATGATGTCTGACAATATATATAGCATTCTGCCCTCATATTCCCCCACCTTTTGCCTTGATGAGAGTGGTATGTTTCCTTAACTATTCTCCAAGACCAGGATTGTTTTCTTAATGACTTTTTTGGGGGCCAGACTGATTGCAGGTTAACAGGGAGGGGAATGGGACCACTTCAGAGCTCTTAAGGTCATGTGACCTGTTCTTTCTAAGACACTTTTACTTACATTATTTTTTTCGATCCTGATAATAAGCCTGTCAGATCAGTGGGACGGCTATTATTATCCCCATTTTCCACAGGAGGAGACTGAGGCCCAGAGAGGTTGGAACTTGCCTTAGGCTACATGGCAGCTAGGGCTCCTGCCCCATTCTCCTGATTGGGTAGTCAGTGTTCTTCCCATGACACCTAGCTGCCCGACAGAAGGCCATTTCTGAAGAGGATTCTCCTTGTTCCCTCCAGGCTAATTCCTTGGCTCCTAAATGTGGACAGACTCTGGGGACCAGGCAGGAGAGGCTGGAAGTCCTGCCAGACCTAGCTCCCTGGGCTTGGACTTGGAGCTGGGGAATTCTGAGGGCTAGGATGCTGTCTGGAGGTCTCACTGAGGAGAGAGGGAGGGCTGGCAGGGAAGGGCACTCTGCAGGGCCCAGGCAGGAAATGCTCTTGGGTTCCCTTAGCAACTGCTGTGCCGCTTTTAGCAAGGAATGGAGCAGCGGGGAGGGGGAGGGGAGAAGAAAGAGGGGAGAGGGGGAGAGACCAGGAGAGAGGAGCAAGGGGGCGGCCCTGGGGGGTGTGGCTCTCATCCACTCTGGGTTTGAGCTTTGGAGAGGATACAAGAGTGTATCTGAGCCCGGAGGGTGGGCACGGTCCCTGCTTTGGATTCCCCCAGCACTAGCCAGCCCCACCGAGGGGGAATAAGGGTGAATACTAGAGGACATGAGAGGGATGGATGATGGAGCCATTTCATTGTGTCAGTATGCCCGGTAGATAGTTGGAGACAGGGTAGATCTGGGTGGCAGATGAAGAGTGCAGGTACAGATTAGCACATGGGGGCATGAGTGAGCACTGTCAGGGGAAACTGAGGCATGGGGAGGGTAAGTGACTAAGAATGATAGGCTCATAGATCTACAGGAGCCATGTAGTCCAATCCCTTCATTTTACAGATGAGGAAACTGAGGCCCAGGGAGAATAGGTGATATCAAAGATTATAGGACTATAGGTCAAGAGGTACAAAGGACTTCAGAGGCCTTCTAATCCAGTCCCCTCCTCTTAAAGGAGGAAACTGAGGCCGAGGCGACACAGGTAGCAAGCATCAAAGGTGTTCTAGACCTGAATTCTGGAGGGCTCGGGTTCAAATTCTCCTTCTGGCACTTCCTGGCTATGTGGCCTTAGACAAATCCCTTAGCCTGGCAGCCTCTGTTTCTTAATCTGCAAAATGGGGCTGACAATAGGAACCCACAGCACCTCCTCCCAGCACCATTGAGAAGCTCAAATGAGACAGAAGGAGCGCAAGGTCCTTTGAGATCTTAATGTACCTGAAATGGCAGCTTGAGCTTGCTGGAATTCTCCCTGGAGTTTGCATTTTATGGCGCTATCTGCTGGTTCCTCTCACCGCCTGGCTGTGTGACCCTGGCCAAGTTACTTAACCTCTCAGTTCCCTGGGCAGCACCTTAAGACCAAAAGTTGCAGAACCAGGTGCTGAATCCTTGCTGGGAACTCCCTCCATAGATGAATCATAGATCTGGTTTTTTTAAAAAGGATTATTATTGCTATTCGGCTGGGTTAAAGTAGTGCTGGGGGGACAAGGAAGCATTCTACTAGAATTCTAATGCTATTTTTGTTGGATTGGAATCCAGAATTTGAGTCAGGTCTTGGGTTCTAATCTTATCTTCCACATACTGTGTGGCCTTGGGCGAATCACTTCGCTTGGGGACCTTATCAACTCCAATTCAAACTCAACAAATGAGTATTCCTTAAAGGACCTACTGTGTGCTCAGTAGTGGGGATGCGTAGATGCTTGAGGGCTGTCCCGGACCGTCTCTGGGGTCCCTGGCAGCTCCGATACCCCACGACAGGACCAGCAGCTTCTCTCCTGGCCTCCTTGCTATTATTAACATGTGCTGGGAGATCCTCAGCCCTTCCATCACTCAGCCGTCTTTTCTGTGCATGGTCCCCGGGTGGGTGCCGAGCGCTCTGCTGGTCCTCTCTTTGGGACTGCTCCAGAAACTCATAGGGAGATGCCTGAGGGTCTTGGCCATAACCTGTCTCTCCCACCCACCCACCCACTCACAACCTGGGCTGGGCCTGGAGACCTCTCCATTCCTTACCTCGCTGCCCCCAGGGGCCATCAAGAATAATAGGGCCACTGTTCTCAGTGAAATAATTGATGGGGGGGGGAAGGTTTTGAGGGTCCTGAGATCCTAGTCATTTCTGGGTGTTCTGGGGAACTCCATGGGGTGACATGGGGGGTCTGGGGCTCCCCTGAGGTGTCAGGCCTTTGTTAAGATGATTGAGTGGAAAGGGGTTCTAGTACCAGCCCCGCCTGGTGGTCTCTTCCTCCTCTGCCTTGTTCCAAGTCCAACAAGCCCAAGCTGGCCAGGTGGCAAGGCTGACGTAGTCCCTGAGGCCCCCAGGTGGGGGGGGGTGAAGATGGGAGGAGGGAAATCTGCCAACACGGGGTTTCCATGGGGCCAGAAGGGCCCTCTGTTACTGTGGCTGGGATTGGGCAATCTTGGCATTACCCTGGGGTCTGGGAGGGGAGAGGGAGCCAAGGCCCATACTAGGGAGGGTCTCAAAGACCTTGCTGAATTGTGCAAAGGGTTTTTTCATGGGGAAAGGGGTCTATTTTCCCTTTGGCCTGAGAGAGGAATGACCAGATTTTCTGTTCCGTGGTCTCTGCTAGCCTGCCCCGCCGGGAGCTTCAAGGCGAAACAGGGAGAGGGACCCTGCCTCCCTTGTCCCCCCAACAGCCGCACAACATCTGCCTCCGCCACCATCTGTATTTGCCATAACAACTTCTATCGTGCTGATTCTGACCCTCCCGACAGTGCCTGCACTAGTGAGTGACCCTTGAGCTCTGACTTTGACCCAAGATGGGGAGGGGGGGTCTGCTATTTTTTCTTCCATCAATCCCCCTAATTTTCTCAAGCTATCCTGTCCAAAAAGCCTCACGGAGGGCAGCCAGCTGGGGTTTTGCCACAGCACAAATTGAGAGAAGGTCAAATTGTCCTGGGGCTTCATCCTGCCCTGCCCCCAGCAGGGATGGTTTGTCTCCTGTTTGCTGTCTGTCCGTCTGTCCTTTCATGAGGGTAGAGGTGGGGGGCGGTCCTCGGGGGAGGGGAAGATTCCCTGTCCTTGCCCTCCCCTGCCTCATCACCCTCCCCCGACACCTCCTTCTCCATTCTCCACCAGCTGTGCCGTCCCCACCCCACAGTGTGATCTCCAACGTGAATGAGACCTCGCTGGTACTAGAGTGGAGTGAACCTCGGGACCTGGGCGGCCGAGATGACCTCCTCTACAACGTCATCTGCAAGAAATGCCAGGGGGGCCCTGGGACGTCGGGCCCGGCCACTTGCTCCCGCTGTGACGACAACGTGGAGTTCGTGCCCCGACAGCTGGGGCTCACAGAGCGGCGGGTACACGTGAGCCGGCTGCTGGCCCACACCCGCTATAGCTTTGAGGTGCAGGCTGTTAACGGGGTCTCGGGCAAGAGCGCCCTGCCACCTCGCTATGCCGCTGTGAACATCACCACCAATCAAGCTGGTGAGGAAGGGCTGTGGGGCCTAGGACAAAGCCTTCGCTGGCCACCCTAGTTACAGCTGTTCAGACTAGCCAGGACATCACAGGGCCTGGGGAAGGGAGAGCACCGAACAGCCTCAGGGACTGCACAGCTTGGAGTCACTCATGCCTCCTGCTGAGACCAAGTGGCCTGCTAGGGGTGGGTGGGGCACAACATCCAGGCAGGATGTCAGGGCGTGCCCCATGTTGTCTCTAGACCATGGTCTCCAATGGGGCCTGGGTTCAAGAGCTGCTTTTTCTAATCCTACCCAACCCAACAAGCACTAGCTATGTGTGTTGGGGAATGAGGCTGCAAAGACAGAATGACAAGCATTTCCTGCCTTCAGGGAGTTTATATTCTACTGGGACTTTCTAGAGGGAAGGGATGAGAATACCTGTTGCTATCTTCAGGGCCCTTCAAAGGGCTCTCAGGCCTGTAGTGGGATACCACAGAGAGCCTCGTGACCAGGGCCAGACTCTTCTTTGGGTTGGAATCCTGCCCAGCAGTGAATACTCCCACTTCCAAAGCAGGCCCTTGAACCTCAGGCTGTGGGTCCCAGATCATAAATCTAGACTTGGAAGGTATCTAAAAGGCCATTGTGACCAGCTCCCTCATTTGCAGAGGTGGAAACTGAGGCCCAGGGAGGTGAAGTGAGTGGCAAGTCACCAGTGTCATAGGCAGGATTTGAACCCAGATCCCAAAGCCCCAGAGTCAGAGCTCTTTCCCCTGGATTGTGTTGTCTCTGGGTGGGGTTGGGGAATGGGCCTTGTTCCTGGTGGGAAGCGGAGGACCAGGGAAGCTGGAGTATGACTTCTCCCCTCTGTCCCCCAGCTCCATCAGAAGTTCCCACCATGCGTCTACACAGCAGCTCTGGAAGCAGCTTGACCCTGTCCTGGGCTCCCCCTGAGCGGCCCAATGGCATCATCTTAGACTATGAGATGAAGTACTTTGAAAAGGTCAGTGCAGCATGTGTGTGCACATGTGTGTGCAAGCAGGCATGCTATATGTATTTGTATTCTGTGTGTTTGCTCAGGATTGTGCATGAGTGTGCTTATACATGTGTTTATGCAGGTGGGCACAGGTGTGTTTGTACATGAGAGTGCATGGGTGTGTTTGCACGTGCATGGAGGCAGGTATACACATGTGTGTAATGTGTGTGTGTGAGTTTCTGAACAAGAGCGTATGGATGTGTGTATGTGTTTGTACATGTGTGTGCGTGCAGGTATGGTCATTTGGGTTTGTCCTGCGTGTATGTGTTGATGCATAGTTGCACATGAGTGTGCAGGTGTGTGTTTGCATATAATTGTGTGTGGGTGTGTTTGCCTGTATGTATGTGTGTGTGCACACATGTCTATGCACACATGGGGGACAGAGCTGGGGTGGGACAGAGCTGGGGCCGAGAAAGGTCCTTGGAGAACCAAAGTTGGGGTTGGAGACCTGTGTGTCAGACCCTGCGGGGGTGAAGAGGAGGGCTAAGGAGGGAGGTTGATTGAGCACTCATTCATTCAGGATATATCCATTAAGCACCTCCCACCAAGGCAGAGGTAAGAACAGGGTCTCCCATTCTTCTGGGAGGGGGGCCCAGGACTTTATCCAGTGATGAAGCAAGGCCTGGAGGGACCTACTAACAACCTGGGGAATCCCGAGTCATCTCCTGTGCTTGCATGAGGAGGGAGGCCATTCCAGGCGGGAGAGTCAGCCTTGGGACAGACACAGATGTGGCAGCTGGAAATGTCATCCCAAGGCAGCCTCAAGTAGATGAGTTCGCTTGGAACAGAAATTATAGGAAAGGGAGTCTTCTACACTGAGCGTGGAAAGGTTGACTAGGACCAGATTGGGGAAGGTTTTCAAGGCCAAACAGAGGTGGTAGCATTGTATCCTAGAGGCAATAGGGAGCTAGCCACTAAAGGCTCTTGAGCAGGGGAGTGGCCTGGTTAGACCTGCACTTGAGGAAGATTATTTTGGAAGCCGTGAGGATGGATTGGAGTAGGGAGACATTGGAGGCAGGGATACCAATTGGGAGACTATTGCCGTAGTCTAAATGAGAGAGCGCCAGGCCTGGAGTCAGGAAGAGCTGAGTTCAAATTGGGCCTCAAACACTTCCTAACTGAGTGACCCTGGGCAAGTCACTTAACCCTGTTTACCTCAGTTTCCTCATCTGTAAAATGAGCAGAAGAAGGAAATGGCAGACATGGGGTCATGGGGAGTCAGACACGACTGAAAATGACTGAACGATAAGAGAGAGACGATGTGGGAGGGGCTTAGAGTGCGGCTGTGGGAGTGGCTTTGTCCATGGGAAGGGGCAAGTAAAGAGGGGACTAGGGAGGGGTTCAAGTGCCTTCATTGACGCTGCTCAGGGCAGGGCGTTGGGGGTTCTGGGAGGGCTACCTCTGCTTCCCCAAAGAACATGAAGATCCCACCTGAGTTTGTCCCCAGATCAAAAGGAAGGGGACCCTGTCGGGTGGGGAGCCTCGGGGAGGGGTGGAAGGGGTGCCTCTCAGAGCCCTCATGGCCCTCTGTGACCCCTGCAGAGTGAGGGCATCGCTTCCACAGTGACCAGCCAGAGGAATTCGGTGCAGCTGGACGGACTGCGGCCAGACGCCTGTTACGTGGTCCAGGTCCGAGCTCGGACCGTGGCTGGCTATGGCCAGTACAGCCACCCCGCTGAGTTTGAGACCACGGGGGAGAGAGGTGAGTAGCCCCCCGACAGCCCTCTCCTACCTACTACCTCCCTCCGATTTACTTGTTCTTGAATTGTTATATAGCTGGGTCACTCCCTCCATCCAAATCGAATGCCCCTTTGCACCAGTTAAAATTAAGGAAGCTCTCCCATGCCACGATCATGCCTACCAGTGTGCACAGCACTGCCCCAGCAGTAACCCCTACACCTCTCTGCCCAGAGGAGGCCGCTCCTCACGATCTGGCCCCTGCGGCCATTGCTGGAGCTTTTCATTCAGGTCTCACTCCCAGCTGTCTTGCGGTTCTCCCGATGCTTCTCTCTGCATCCGTTCATGCAGGCCTTCCGGTGCTCTCAGGGTTCCTCACATTCTCCTTCCTCGCTCCTTCGGGCTTTCCCTCCTGCACAGGGCCCTGGTTGGTTGGCAGAGGGGACCCCTCCCACACCCCCAGGGTCTCTCCCGGCAACACTCTCAAGCCCCCTTTTCCCGTCTTTAGGTTCAGGGGCCCAACAGCTCCAGGAGCAGCTTCCCCTCATCGTGGGCTCAGCGACCGCCGGCCTGGTCTTCCTCGTGGTCATCGTTGTCATCGCCATCGTCTGCCTCAGGTCGGCTCTCCCTCCCTCTGATAGCCGTCCTAGGGACCCCGGATCAAATAGGGCTCCCCTGGCATAGGGGGCGCCCCTCTGAGAGTTCCCCACAATGCCCATGTCTCCCATTAGGCCCTGGCGCCTCTAGCCTGGACACATAGGATCCTAGAACTTCAGCTGGAGTCTAACTCTCTCATTTTACAGTTGAGGAAACTGAGGCTGAGAGAGGGAAGTGACAAGGGCTCTGGATTTGGAAAGACCTTCAAGACTTTCTAGTCCAACCCCCTCATTTTACTGAGGCGGTGGTGAGTGACTTGCCCAAGGTCATGAAGCTCTGTGTCAGAGGCAGGATTTGAACCCAGGTCCTCCAGTGTCCCATTCTTTCCACTAGATGATAAATTCTCTCTGCTAGCTGGGGTTTGGCCACATCCACCCTCTTTGGAGCTGAACAAGGGGGTGTGTATGTGACGATATCTCCGTGACTGACCCCTCCACTTGTCCCTGTGTTTTCTCCCCTCCTCCAGGAAGCAGCGCCATGGTTCTGACTCGGAGTACACGGAAAAGCTGCAGCAGTACAGTAAGTGATGAGGAGTCCTCCCTCTCCCCTCCCCCCAGCTTCCTGTCCCACCTTTGCTTCCTCAAGCCCCACTTAGGTTTGGGAGACCTACCCGTGAGAACGCAGCTGGAGGCTTATCCTGCTCCCCTCCTGGGGCCTAGCACTGGGCTAAGATTCTCAGAGGCCTGAGATATGGTCCATGACCTCAAGGAGGGCAGAGTCCAGCGGGGGGGGGGAGACCAGACATGTGGACCGGGGACAGTCTGGTGCCGGATCATCCGCTGATTAGCAAACAATTATTAGACACCTGCTCTGGGGCAGGCACTGTGCTGGCTGCTGGGAGCACAAGACCAAGGATGAACTGCTCTCTGCCCTCAAGAAGCTTACCTTCTTTTTTAAAAGATTGTGAACTAGAAAATCCTCAGTGAATATGCACATTTCACTATGCAAAGAATGGCAGAAAAGGATTATTCTTGAAATATGACTGGCTTGCATACAAGGAGCCCAGATTCTAGCAGGAAAGATCACTCGCACACATAGAGAAATATTTGTAGGATAGCTCCCAGGTCACAAGCCTGCAGGCTTAGAGTCAGAAGGGGCTTCAGAGGCCATGTGAAATCAGCCAGAGGACCGCAGCACAGCCTGATGGGCTCATTTCATGGATGAAGAAACTGGGGCTGAGGGGGAATGAGCTTGCTGAAGGTGTCATCGGTAGAAAGTCAAAAAGCTGACATTCACACCCGCATCTGGCGCTCTCCTCACTGTCCCATCCACTAGCACTGGTAGCTAGGGAGATGAGGGCGCATCAGCAAGGTCCTCACGTGGGAGGTCACTTTGTGCTGGTGAAGCATTCTAAGAGATGAAGGTGAGGATCGAGTGCATTCCAGGCAGGGAGAAGGGAAATGGAGGAGTGTGATGTACTGTGTGGTTCTGTGATTGTTAGGCTGTGGCCAGGATGTGGCGGTGCTGAGGGCAGGAAGGAGGGGGTTTGAGCTGAGTATTAAAGGACGAAGCTATTTTGGCCAGGTGGAGAGGGAAAGATGGCGCCCTAGAGATGAGTGGTTATTTGGAGGGTGCAGAGAGGAGGTGAGGACACAGCCCAAGTGGGAGAGTGGAGAAGAATGAGGAGACTGGTTCAGCTGAAGTCAACGGTGAAGGAGTGGGTGGGGATGGTGGCTGGTGGTGTTTGCAAAGCAGGTAGGAGAATTTAGGCCAAAGTGAGCTGGCTGCCCAGTGTACCTGGCTGGCTCTGGTAGACAATGGGGGCAACTTGCTGAAAATGGAGTTTGAGAGAGATTCCTATGGCCAAGGTTTGATTGGAAGGGGGCAGTGACTTCAGTGAGCAGGCGGGCAGGCGGCTGAGTGGTCAGGCCAGCTGCTAAACCAGGCAGGAGATGATGAGGGCCTGGACTGAGCTGGTGGCCATGGGCAAAGCTGAGAGAGAGGGCCGAGGAAGACATAAGAGCTCTTGGAGACTGCCAGGGACTGGGCAAGAGGATGCCCCATCTTTGGCTGCTGCTTTTGCCAGCAGGCAGGATGGGGAGGGCCTTTCCCTGCATGTGGTGCTCACTAGGGCTCCTGTCTAGGGGCAAAGGATAAAGAAAAGTTATTTCTAGCCATCGTCTGATCTCCTTCTGGCTCCCCCTTTGAGCTCTGTAAACTGGTAAAATTGTGGGTGCAGCCTTCTCAGCCCCCCCAAAAAATAGGTGGAAAAGGAGACCCCCAAATGTCACTAGTTCTCTACCAAGCCTTTCCCCTTAAGGATGACCAACATGAGTGCCACCTCTTTCCTCCCCCCTCCAGGAGCCCTACCCCTCCCTGATCCCTCTCTTCTGCCCCCAGTTGCTCCCGGCATGAAGGTTTACATCGATCCCTTCACTTACGAAGACCCCAACGAGGCTGTGAGGGAGTTTGCCAAAGAGATTGATGTCTCTTGCGTCAAGATCGAGGAGGTGATTGGAGCTGGTGAGTCACCGGGGAGGGTGGAAGGGAGGGAGGAGATAGCCGGTTGGCCATGTCGTCCCTCTAGGCAGGGGCTCGTGACCTTTGTGTTTCACAGATCCCTTTGGCATGGGCTGGTACCTTCTCCAAATGACGTTCTTAGATACAGAAAATAAAATCCATTGGATTCCAAAGGAAAACAATTCTATTGACATACAGTCGTCAAAATATACAAAGTTCACAGCTCCCAGATTAAGAATCCTTATTCTAGAGAAGCAGAGGGTGAGGAGAGTCCCTGAGATGGGTGGGCATTAGAGCCTGAAGCCTAGGGAGGGCTCCCTCTCATTCAGTGAGCATGCATTCAGCCTCCTGCGTGCCTAGCATTGTGTCCGGGGCTCTGTTCGCAAATCCCAAGCTGTCCTGGCCTGGCAGGGGCTTCTTCTCTGCTGGGAGAGGGGAGTGTATCCACAAGGGATAGCATGTGACCCTGGCCTGTGACCTGCAGGGGAGTTTGGCGAGGTGTGTAGGGGCCGACTGAAGCAGCCAGGCCGCCGGGAATTGTTCGTGGCCATAAAGACCCTGAAGGCTGGCTATACGGAAAGGCAGCGGCGAGATTTCCTGAGTGAGGCCTCCATTATGGGCCAGTTTGACCATCCCAATATCATCCGCCTGGAAGGCGTGGTCACCAAGAGCCGGCCTGTCATGATCCTCACGGAGTTCATGGAGAACTGTGCCCTCGACTCCTTCCTCCGAGTGAGTTGTCCCCCATCCCCAAAACTGCTGCCTGGTGGTGCTGTTTGTGTTCCCCAAGTGTATTCACATCTCTTATCTCATTTGGTCCGCACAGTCCTGGGAGGGCAGGCAAAGCAAATACTCAGCCCTATTTTGCAGATGGGCAAACTGAGTCTCAGAGAAGTTAAGTGACTTATCCAAGGCCCTAAAGCTGATTAGAACTCAAACCTGGGTCTTCAGCTGCCTAATCCAGTGTTCTTTCATCTACCCCAGTCTTCTTGCCTAGAATCAAAGAATCAAAGTTATTCCAGCGCCTGTTTAACCCACACAGACCAGTTTAACTCACACCTGAAAAGAAATCCCTGTGCTAACATGCCTGACAAGTGGTCATCTGGCCTCTAGTTGACGATGGCCAGGGAAAGCAGAAAGAATGCCAAGCCTTAGTTTCTTCCTCCACAAAATGGGGATAATAAGTGTGGCACTTCTCGGCACCCCCAGGCATCTCTAAAGGTTCCACATTGCAGAGCAGGGGCCTGTCTGCATTGGTGGAGGGGATTAACTATGCCCCAAATCAGAGTGGATAGAATCCGGGCTCAATCCTGGCCAGGCACCTCCACCTCTCTCTAAGATCCTAAGTTTCAGAGAAGTGGCTAAGCTACATGGGGAGAGTGTCCCACCTTGATCCAATCACAGGGCTGGATCCTGGCTGGCCCCAAAGCACAGCAGCGTCCCCTTTCCCAAGCTGGTTGTGAGGGTTGGACGAGCTCAGGAATAGAAAATGTTAGAAACCTTAAAGAACCGTGCCCTGACCCCTCCCCATGGAGTCCTCAGCACCGAGATATGGGTCACAGACAGACTGTCATCCTCCCTAGTCCCCAAAGGTCAAAGTGCTTCCTTTCCCCCCTTCTTTGAAGAGGTGGGGGACATTGCATACAAGGCTACTTTCCCTGGAGCCTAAGTCTGTGTGTCCCCATTCTCCAGCTGAATGATGGGCAGTTCACCGTGATCCAGTTGGTGGGCATGTTACGGGGCATCGCAGCAGGCATGAAGTACCTGTCCGAAATGAATTATGTCCACCGGGACCTAGCTGCCCGGAACATCCTGGTGAACAGCAACCTGGTCTGCAAAGTCTCCGACTTCGGCCTCTCCCGGTTTCTGGAGGATGACCCTGCTGACCCCACCTATACTAGTTCACTGGTACGGGGCCAAAGGGTCATGCAATAATGGGGCGGGGGAGGTGGTGCCAACTGGGTGGGGACACCATGTGGGCAGGAGCCAGCCCTGAATCACAGGGTGAAGGGTCTGTGTCCCCCTCCCCACCAGGGTGGGAAGATCCCCATCCGATGGACGGCCCCTGAAGCCATCGCTTACCGAAAGTTCACATCAGCGAGTGACGTCTGGAGCTATGGGATCGTCATGTGGGAGGTGATGAGTTATGGAGAGCGGCCCTACTGGGACATGAGTAATCAAGATGTAAGTGGGGACTAGGGGATCAGGGAGGGGGAGGGGCCACTGCACTTAGGCCAGTGTTGATTAATTTCATTCAGTTCAATGGCTTCTTATTAAGTAGGGGCAGCAAAAAGTGGCCTGAATTTGGAACCCCAGGACCTAGGTTCCAGGGTCCTCACTTACTGTGTGACCTTGGACAAGTCACCTGACTTCTCTTGGTGGGCTTCCTCTAAACATCCCTTCCAGCTCTAAATGTATGACTTTGGGCCACGTGCCTCCCCCTTTCTGAGCCTCAATTTCCTCATCTGTAAAATGAAGGGATTGGAGCTCTGAGTTCCTGTCTAGCTCTGAAGCCTATGATCTGAAGGCATTACTATATGCCAGGCATCCTGCCAGACAAAAGTGAGCTGGTCCCTGCCCTCCAGAAGCTTACCTTTGACTGGACAGCACTCTTATTAAGTGTCTGCCAGGAGGCCTGAACCAGTGCTCTGGGAAGAGTGGAGGAGAGTGGGAACGTTGTCATCTAGAGGGAATTGGGGAAAGCTAAGTCTCAATAGGAGGGGACAGTTCTGAAATGGGGGGATGGAGGCAGGGCATAGTTCAGGGAAAAGCCAGACAAATGCTCAGGTCTGGGACTTCGGGAGCCCCCTCGGAGGGTAGGGCCCAGGGCAGATGTCAGCGGTGCCCACGGAAATTCATGCCTCCTGGGCACCTCTCTCTCTCCACCCCTGGCTCCAGGTGATCAATGCCGTGGAGCAGGATTACCGCCTGCCGCCCCCCATGGACTGCCCCACTGCCCTGCACCAGCTCATGCTGGACTGCTGGGTGCGGGACCGGAATCTGCGGCCCAAGTTTGCCCAAATTGTCAACACCTTGGACAAGCTCATTCGGAATGCTGCCAGCCTGAAGGTTATTGCCAGCGTCCAGTCTGGGTACGTGTCTCCCCCTCTCTCATCCCACCTGGAATGGAGCTCTCACCCTCTCCTTGCTCCCTCCCAGAGGTTCACTTCCCCCTCTTTTCTCTGCCTGCAGGGTGTCCCAGCCACTGTTAGACCGAACTGTCCCTGACTACACCACCTTCACCACGGTGGGGGACTGGCTGGATGCCATCAAGATGGGGAGGTACAAGGAAAGCTTCGTCAGCGCTGGCTTTGCCTCCTTCGACCTCGTTGCCCAGATGACTGCAGAGTGAGTGTCCGTTTAGTTGGCAGTGGGAACGCACCTGAGTCCTGGCTCTGCCACTGACTGGAGAAGTGACCTTGGGCAAATCACTGGGGGTCATCCTCCATGACCCCTTCATTGGTCCAGTATCCCTTAATTTCTCTGAAAAGCCACTCCTCGTTTGTAAAATGGGAACCAGGTGACCTTTTGGATTTTTCAGTTCAGTCCAATGACCTTATGGTCTTAGGTAATGATCTTTTTCTAGTGGGAAAAGCTCCATTTTTTTTTTGCTTTTTTTTTTTTTTTTTAAGGCAATTGGGGTTGAGTAACTTGCCCAGGGTCACATAGCTAATAAGTGTCAAGTGTTTGGTCTGAGGCTGGATTTGAACTCAGGTCCTTCTGACTTCAGTGCCGGTGCTCTATCCACTGCGCCACCTACCTGCCCCAAAAGCTCCATTTTTAGAAGACTGTCTCTTTCTACCTGTATGACCCTGGACAAATCACTTCCTTTCTCTGGGCCTCAGTTTTCCCATTTAAAAGATTAGGGGATCGGACTTCTTGGTCTCCAACGTCCCTTCTAATTTGAAATCTAAGATCCTCTAAATCTGAGATTCAATTCAAGAAGCATCTATTAAGCTTCTGCTGTGTGCAAGGCACTGGTGATCAAAGACAAAAATGAAGTGGTGCCGGCCATGAAAGAGTGTATATTGAGTTGAGGGAGGCAGCGTGTGTGTGTGTGTGTGTGTGTGTGTGTGTGTGTGTGTGTGTGTGTGCATGTGTGTGCATATGTGTGAGCACATGCATTGTCTGTGTGTGTGTATCAAAGTATCAGTCAATCACTAATAATTTAAGTGCCTACTATGTGCCTGACATTGTGAGAGGTGCCAGGGATTAAAAGACTATCCTGCCCTCAAGAAACTTACCTTCTACTTAGAGGGAGAGAATAGGAGTTAGGATAAGTCAAGGCAAAATGTGTAGAGTCATTTTGGATTGTGGAGAGGGGGGTGGGGCTCACAACTGGTAGAACTGAGAAAGGCCTTTTGCGGGAGGTGGGATTTAGACCGAGCCTTGAACACTGGAGCCTTGGGATTCTGGGAGGATCCCTAGAATGCCCAGAACATTCCAGGCCAGAAGGGGAGGAGCCCTGGGTACGAAGGGCAGAGGTAGAGAAAAGGAGGTCCTTCGATGCCCTGGGAAGCTGACCACTGTCCTTCACCCCCACCCCACCCCCAGGGACCTGCTCCGGATTGGCGTGACTTTGGCTGGACACCAGAAGAAGATTCTAAGCAGCATCCAGGACATGCGGTTGCAGATGAACCAAACGCTGCCTGTGCAGGTCTGACCCCCTTGAGCAGCCCCGGACGGCCCCGGGGTGCCGCAGGAACTTGGAGTGGCCAGACATTTGGACGTTTGGACGCTTGGTCAAGGGCTGTGGCCCAAAGTTCACAATGTGTTGGGGGACCACCGGAAGCCCCCCCCCCGCTGTGGCCTGTGTTCCCTCTGTGAGCAACAGCGGGGCCAGGACGCTTAGGACAGATGCCACCTCTTCATATTGAAGACGGATTAGGGGATGGGGGTCATGCCACTGCCCATCCCCCATGGGGTCCAGGCCTCCCTGCTCTCGAACAGGGGGGTGCCCCCCATAACCTCAGACTTGGGTGTTCTCCACGCTGGAGTGACTGCAGTGCTCTAGTCTGGATCAGGGCCCCCCAGGTAGACAAAAAAGCAGCCCCTCCCTCAGAAACTGCAGGGGGGAAAGCTTCAGGGAGTGAGGGGGTATGTGTGACACCCCACCCCTGCTCCAGAGCCAGTCGCCATCACTTCAAGTTTGCACAGGGACTCTCTGGGGAGGGGTAGGACCTGGCTTCTTCCTGATACCTCCCAGCCCCCCTCCTTCAGCCTGGTTGGTGCTGAGGCTGGCTTCCAAAATGGGTAGGGGGCCAGCCAAGGAGCAGCCCCCCCTGCCCCTTAGGGACTCACAGAGCCAGAAAACGGATGTCTCGATGTCTGCTGTGCATGCCAGCCCGCCTGCCCGGTGCGCGTGTGAGCATGGCAGAGCTTGGGCCAGCTGGGGGGCGCCCTTTGGGGTGTCAGCAGAATAAAGGCAGTAAGTCATTGCGGTGCCGCCTCCCACTCATTCTCACCTCCAATCCACCTCTGCCTGGTCCCCTTCTCCCAGGTGAGGGGGGCACACACTGCTCTGCATCCACCCTCGAGATCCCCACCCCCAATCTCTCAGAATTTCATGGAGCCACCGCTACAACCCAGAAACTGTTATCTGGGTCTCATTATGTGCTTGGCATTTGGGATACAAAGGGAAAAAGAAAATGAAATTGCCCCCTGCCCTCGGGCACTTTACCACCCTCCTAAAACAATCAATGCACAAAGGTTTACTAAATGCCTCCGATGAGCTAGGCACTGTGCCGAATGCTGGGGATAGGCTACCCCCAGGGCACTTACATTCTATCGGGAAGCAGCTGGGAAGCCCCACTCTGTGCCAGGCACTAGGCTAGGCACCCAGGAAATAAAGACAAAGGAGGAAGTCATCCCTATCCTCAAAGGGCTTATGTTTGACTGGGGCTGGGCGGGGGATGCAGCATGTAGACAGCGAACTCCATGGATGCAAAGTGATTTCAAGAGGGCAACAGATCCAGCGAGGGGAGGATTTAGATAACGCCTCCGATCTGATGGGAGCTTCAAGGATTCAGAAAGGAGCAGAGAGAGCAGGCCGGGCAAAGGCATAGGAAATAGGGACGCTTCCTGCCCCGGCTACTTCCCATCCCCTCTCCTGGGCACTGGGGATATAGAGACAGCACGTGGGGTGGAGGTTACAAAGCTAGCCTCAGAGTCAGGGAGTTCAGGTCATGTTTCAGCCATGTCCAGCTGTCCGTGACCCCATTTGGGCTTTTCTTGGCAAGGATGCTGGAGGAGTTTGCCATTTCCTTCTCCAACTCATTTTACAGGTAAGGAAACTGAGGCAAACAGGATTCAAGTCCTGCTTCTGACCCAGACTGGTTGTGTGACCCTGGGTGAGTCCTTTAACTACTCAGTGCCCCAGGCAACCCTCTGGGACTGCAGACTGCTGGTCAGGTGGTGAAGGTATTTCCCTCACTGGAATTTCCCTACACCAAAGAATCCCAGACCTGGACAATAATAATGATGAAACACTTATGTAGCAACTGAATGTCTTCAAAGCCTTTTTGTGGGGGGGGGGCTGGGACAAGTCTAGGCCTGGAGCCAGGACTGAGGTTCAAATCTGGCTTCTGCCACTTCTGTGCATGGGGGAGGGGGGAGGGGCACTCTTGCTCATCACTCAGCCCATCTCCTTGGGCCACAGTTTTCCCAAATATAAAATAAGGGGTTTGGACTGGCTGACCTTCAACATTGTCTCCCACTTTAACTAGATGAATTTGCCTGTTGCCACTTGGGTAAGGCATTCACCTTTCCAGGCCTCAGTTTCCTTGTCTATGCATGAAGGAGTTGCATTCCCCAGCCCTAGGTCAAATGAGCTATTTAATCCAACCCAAACCCAAACTGAACTCCCGCTCTGTAGGGGCAGTAGCCTTCACAAATGGTAGCAGGTTATCTGGGCCCGGGGTATCTTGGAGGCTGGATTCATGTGAAGGGGTGCACCAGCGCCTGGGCAATCTAGCAGGCCAGCAATGCAGTGGGGTAGGGCATATTCCTGCTGTCCCCAACCCCCGCAGTGAGGGGAGCTTGGGAACAGTGCCCCCCCCCCCCCCTTTCCTTCTCTCAACTACGAACCCCCCCCCCCCCTCCCCCCTCTTTCCCCCCCCCCCCCCCCCCCCCCCGCTCACGTTAGCTGCTTTGGGTGTTTCTCCAGACTCTTGGGTCCCCCTGCCTGTGTTATCCCAGGCCTTGGAGTTGGAGAAGGAACTAATAGGATTGAAGTCTTTGTGCTGGGAAGTGGGGGATGGGGAAAGAAAGCGGAAAGGAAGGAAAGATAAAGAATCAGTGGGGAAAGGGGAGAGAAAGAGACAGAGGGAGAAAGAAAGAGGGAGACAGGAAGGGGGAGAGAAAGAGGGAAATAGAGGGAGTAAGGAGAGAAGGAAGAGAAAGGGGGAGATACATGAAAGAATGGGGAGAAAGAGGGAAACAGAAAAAAGAAGAGGGAGGAAGGGAAAAGAAAGGAGAGAGGAAGAGGGGAAGATAGAGAAAGGAAGAGGGAGGGGGAAGAGAAAGGAAGAGAAAGAGAAGAAGATAGAGGGAGGAAAGAGAGGAAGACGAGAAAGAGGGGGAGACA